AGATGGTACCTGAGTTAAGCTGTTAACTCAGTGAATTATTCCCTGCTCCAGCGTAGCCATCTCGATGATTCCCGTCTTCTCGCCTTAGGTGAGACGAAGGCGCGTTAGACGTTTCTTGGGCATAACTATAGTGCTGGTGGCGGCGTTGCGTGCGGTCGTGAGTGGAATCGGAAATGTGCTGAGCTCTATAGTAGACAGTGGCTACTTATACATCTTCATTAAAGGTGCTAAATTTCAAATTCCGTCTAGTGATCTAGTGGTTAAACTAGCCTGGGCTATTGGATTTTGGAATCGGTAGTAGTGACTCAGTACCTTGCCCATCCGAGGGCGATATAAAGTTTGTCAGAAAATTAATTGTAACCCCGCTGCTTCAGGAGGCAGATTACTGTAGCTAAGTATTCGAGGGCGGAAGGTAGCCCAAGTTGAAGCAAACGGAGTTGAATACCTGAAGAAGAAAATGTTTTTGCTGGGCGTATTACCAAACGAACACGCTCTTAAATTAGTTTACACGATAAAGCAACACATGTCGATTTTGTAAAACTTAGTACAACATGGACAGTAGAGATAGTGAAAGCAGACGGTCAGCGGGCAGCCTCCTTAACTATTAGAAAGGGTATCACTATTTGAATTACCGCTCCAAAGAGGGTTGTCTGTATCTGCGTCTCCATACAGCGCTGTTTGTTAGTTAAAGTCTCTAGCTAACGTCTCCCAGTAACGCTAGTCTAACCTGCACTCTCTCCCTTACGTAGACAGGGGTGAAAAGGAGACGGTGTTTTATCTGCGTGTACAGGAGACCTGTGGCGCTGGTTAACACATATACTCGGCGGATTTCGTCTTGTGATAATAGGCCTTCAGCAGCATGCAGCAGGCGCTGGGGCTCGGCTAGTCGGCGTTTCTTATGCCATGTCGTGCTTCATCATCAAATGTAAGGGTAGATTTCCTACACACGCTACCGTCTCATTTAAAGTACTCTATCCGGAAACCTAAAGGCCTCGGCGACACGGTGAAAACTACCTTTCCACAATCAAAGATCGATCTGTGATGTAGCTGTAGAAACAGCGTCTGGCTTAGTGTCAGAAGTATGTATTCGCCTTGGTCGACAAGGTCCAGGTTTGAGAGCGATAATTGAAGCAAATGTCGCTTCTCGACTGAATAGGAATGCATTATTTCTAACACAATGGTGGTTATTCTTAAATAAACATTCTTCACAACAAATTTCGTGTATCTATACAAATGCCACCCTAATAAGAGCATCCCACCAATTTCAAGTCAAATTGGGCGATATTTTCTTTTTTACAGTTCAACTAAACCCCGACAAAAGAGCAATCAAACGGGCTAACAAAGCTGACTCGCTATTTTAAACAAACATCTTTTAGTTATTCCAAAATACCTAACTGTAAACATGATGATTGCTTAGTCAATCAAAAACGTCATCAAACATGATCTGAAGTTGACTAAACTTGATGGTCGTGTTCCAGCAACTGCAT